TATATATATATATATATATATATATATACTGTATATATATTATTTTTATTATACATAATTTATATATTTATTATACATAATTTACATATTTATTGTATTTATTTTTCAGTAAATATTAAAATTGTGTGTGTACTGTAGTATTTATTGTGTAACATTTTAATATTTATTTTGTAAAAAAGTTATAGCTTCAATAAAGCTTCCATTATTTTTTTATTTTTTTTAAGTTCTCGCTTAAGGAGATATCAGTGAAGAGCTGGAATATGAGTTAATGTGATGTGTGAATATAGTAAAGAGAGAAAATCAAGGTAAATATCACTTGTGAGCAGAATGCTTTTATTGTGCATGATTTGAAATGAAGATGAAATTGTCAAAATATGCAAAATGGGTGGACATGTTATTTAATTGTGTTTAGCACACAACATTTTTGGAATAATTCACTAATTTAATTTCTAATGTTTCAAATGTCATTTTCACCACAGAAATCTATTAATGACACATAGTCTGGAGCACCCTAGAGCTCAGAAAAAAAGAGGGGAAATTAAAACAACATTTTTATTATAATAAATTATGTCAGTGGCTCAGAGCTTCTCAACAAAGGAAGCCTGTTTTTTTTTTACTCTGGTTTTTCTCTGTTGAACACTATAGCATCCATTTTTCCCATTGTCAGTATTACACATGAAGGAGCTGGAGATCTTATGAAAACACCTTGGCCTGAGTCTGTTTAATGTGATGTAGTAATACTCATTTGCATTGTCATTATTTTGTAAATGGAGTTTGTACAAGCAAAAGGTATGTTTCAATCACCATGAACTAGTAACAGCAATGCTTGGATGTGGTGTTTGACAGCGTTTGGTAATGCAGCTCATGGTGAATATAAAAATGGAAGGGTGAAAGTCTGTCTTAAGCAAAGTGAAATGCAGAATGTCTGAATATAAAGAAGAAGAAAGGAGGTCATAATGCAAAATGACAGTATAACCCGGTGACAGAAGAAAGGACAAACTAAACCTGATAGTTACACAATACAGCTGGAGGATATTTACCCAACGCTCACACAAACACCAGCACTGGTTACTATTTACAATGACTCTAAAAGGACCTTGTGTCTAAAGTGAAGTCTGTTTAGTCAGGTGTTTACTTCAATAACACTAAAATGATGCCCTGATGTGCCAGTTAGTGAGATATTTTAGTTTTCTGATGATTGTGCAATTCTTTATTATGTTATATAATATGTTTACTCTTATTTGACAAGTAAAAACTCATCACATGCGGACTAACGTGTAACAAGACATTTGTATTTTTGACCAGGTGGGAAAAAAATATTTTTTCCAGAATATCAGCTGTTGTTCAGTCACTAGACTGTCAAACTCATGAAAGTATGGAAGCCCATTTCTGCCACAGAATATTTTATAAGTAATATATAATAGAATATATAAGTAATTGTGACTTTTTACCCCAGAATTCAGACTTTGTTACTTGCAATTCTGAAGGGGAAAAAAGTTAGAATTGTGAGATAAAAACTTAAAATTGCAAGACAAACTCACAATTATGAGACATAAACTCAGAATTACAATTGTGAAATATAAACTCAGATTTATGATATAAACTCAGAATTACGAGATATAAACTCAAAATTATGAGATATAAACTCAGAATTATGAGATATAAATTCAGAATTATGAGATATAAACTCAGAATTATGAGATATAAATTCAGAATTACGAGATATAAATTCAGAATTATGAGATATAAATTTAGAATTACGAGATATAAACTCAGAATTACGAGATATTTACTCAGCATTGCAAGATATAAACTCAGAATTATGAGATATAAATTCAGAATTACGAGATATAAACTCAGAATTGCGAGATATAAATTCAGAATTATGAGATATACACTCAGAATTATGAGATATAAATTCAGAATTACGAGATATAAACTCAGAATTGCGAGATATAAATTCAGAATTATGAGATATACACTCAGAATTATGAGATATAAATTCAGAATTACGAGATATAAACTCAGAATTGCGAGATATAAATTCAGAATTATGAGATATACACTCAGAATTATGAGATATAAATTCAGAATTACGAGATATAAACTCAGAATTGCGAGATATAAATTCAGAATTATGAGATATACACTCAGAATTATGAGATATAAATTCAGAATTACGAGATATAAACTCAGAATTGCGAGATATAAATTCAGAATTATGAGATATACACTCAGAATTATGAGATATAAATTCAGAATTACGAGATATAAACTCAGAATTGCGAGATATAAATTCAGAATTATGAGATATACACTCAGAATTATGAGATATAAATTCAGAATTACGAGATATAAACTCAGAATTGCGAGATATAAATTCAGAATTATGAGATATACACTCAGAATTATGAGATATAAATTCAGAATTACGAGATATAAACTCAGAATTGCGAGATATAAATTCAGAATTATGAGATATACACTCAGAATTATGAGATATAAATTCAGAATTACGAGATATAAACTCAGAATTGCGAGATATAAATTCAGAATTATGAGATATACACTCAGAATTATGAGATATAAATTCAGAATTACGAGATATAAACTCAGAATTGCGAGATATAAATTCAGAATTATGAGATATACACTCAGAATTATGAGATATAAATTCAGAATTACGAGATATAAACTCAGAATTGCGAGATATAAATTCAGAATTATGAGATATACACTCAGAATTATGAGATATAAATTCAGAATTACGAGATATAAACTCAGAATTGCGAGATATAAATTCAGAATTATGAGATATACACTCAGAATTATGAGATATAAATTCAGAATTACGAGATATAAACTCAGAATTGCGAGATATAAATTCAGAATTATGAGATATACACTCAGAATTATGAGATATAAATTCAGAATTACGAGATATAAACTCAGAATTGCGAGATATAAATTCAGAATTATGAGATATACACTCAGAATTATGAGATATAAATTCAGAATTACGAGATATAAACTCAGAATTGCGAGATATAAATTCAGAATTATGAGATATACACTCAGAATTATGAGATATAAATTCAGAATTACGAGATATAAACTCAGAATTGCGAGATATAAATTCAGAATTATGAGATATACACTCAGAATTATGAGATATAAATTCAGAATTACGAGATATAAACTCAGAATTGCGAGATATAAATTCAGAATTATGAGATATACACTCAGAATTATGAGATATAAATTCAGAATTACGAGATATAAACTCAGAATTGCGAGATATAAATTCAGAATTATGAGATATACACTCAGAATTATGAGATATAAATTCAGAATTACGAGATATAAACTCAGAATTGCGAGATATAAATTCAGAATTATGAGATATACACTCAGAATTATGAGATATAAATTCAGAATTACGAGATATAAACTCAGAATTGCGAGATATAAATTCAGAATTATGAGATATACACTCAGAATTATGAGATATAAATTCAGAATTACGAGATATAAACTCAGAATTGCGAGAT